TTTGTCATATCTTTTTTAATATAAAGATAAAATTTTAAAAGCATATTATACTTCTTATGTTACATAGCATTTGCCATAGCTTCGCCCGCGTAGTTTATTCATATTATTGCGACGTTCCTGAAGGCGGGAGTGCTAAGTAGATTGTCTATAATGTACTTTCATAGATAGGCTATTAAAAACAAAAAGGATTTTTCAATTTAAAAAAATAATTTTTATTAATTTCTAATTTAAGAATTAGTTATGCTAGAAATTCGCGCTTATATAATAATTTTGCAACTATCATTATATATTATAAGCTTGAACAAAAATCACTGATCACACCCGTATTTTTTATTTTTATAATTTGGCTACAGATTTGTCTAATAGTCTAACGTTTGACAAGAAACACGTAAAATGACTATGACATACACGGGACTGCGACAGACGGACAGACAAAAAAACATGGTGAATTTATAGGGGTTCCGTTTTAGCCACGAAACGGTTTTGACTACCGAACCCTAAAACATGTTTTTCATATTTATGTACATATATCAATAAAATTATTTAAACAAAAGTATCCCATCCCATTATTTATCCTACTAATATTATAAACGCGAAAGTTTGTAAGAATGTATGTATGGATGTATGTTTGTTACACTTTCACGCAAAAACTACTGGATAAATTTTGATATAACTTTACACTAATATAGCTCATACATCAGAATAACACACTTTTTATCCCGGAAAAATGTACGGTTCCCACGAGAAAAACAAAAACAAATCTATCCCACGGGATAAATTTCTTTTTTTTTTTCTAGAGGCGAACCTGAGCGAAGCGAGGGTGAGCCGCTAGTATTTTAATATTGTGAATGCGAAAGTTTGGATGAATGGATGTTTGTTACTCAATCACGCCAGAACGGTTTAACGGATCTGGATGAAGTTCGGCCCAGAGATAGATTATAGTCTGGTTTAGCATATAGGTTACTTTTATCCTGGAAAAATGTACGGTTACCGTGAGATAGATTTCTTTTTCTTTACTGGGGACGAACCCGAGTGAAACGAGAGTGAGTCGCTAGTATTCTATAAATATGGTCTAAAATAAATTATGTTTGATGGATACGCAATTATAATGCGTACAAAAAACTTTTTGGAATTCAGAATGTACGAGTACATAGAGTTGGTATACAACTTAAAAAAACGATGATGATTTTATACTTCCGCCTTGTAATATTTCAAGTACCTCAATGCCATAAGTTGTACATATTATGTTTAAAATTTGCTATGCAAATCTTTGGTTCAAATTAAAATACTAAGCGTCGCGTTAATATTTTTTTATAATTAAATTTATTTCATTTTTATATAATATATAATAAATTTATATAATACTTTTTCAGACATTTTTAATAGTCTCTCCTGTGACGTGATTGCTGTTAAGTACCTATTCGAAACGTTGAGAACCAATATAAATCCGAAAAATCCGCGAATAAATCCAAAAAAATGTGTAGTTTTATTTAAAATGTCATTAATTTATACTTATGAATGTAGTCAAGTTAGAAATTTTAACTAGTTCAGAAAGAAAAACCTCTTTCTGATGATGTAAATAGATGATTTCTGATGATGCACATAACAGAACAGAACTTTAAATTGATTTACTATATATTATACTATTGACTCACCCTCGCTTCGCTCGGGTTCGTCCCTAGGTACGTTTTGAATTAAAATGGATATAGTATGTTATTATTAAGAGATAGACATATGCCAGATTTTTCTGCAGACTTTTCTGTAGACTTATGTAAGATACACAATTCCACATACATTATTTTGTTATATCTTAAAGGGCTTAGGCGTTTTCGTTGAAAGCTCCCAGACGGCTTATTTTTTTCCGACAACTGCAACCAATATCGTTATATTTTAGCCAATGTATACAAAAACTTAACAAATTATATATTAAAACCTTTCTCGAGAACCACTCCATCCATTGGTGAAAACAGCATGAAAATCGATGCAATAGTTTTTGAGTTTATTGCGAACAGACAGACGCGGCGCAGGTTTTTGTTTTATAATATGTAGTGATAATAACGGTTTAATAACGCATTAGTTAAAAAGGCATTGATGTTTTATAACATTAGATTTTAAAATATGTATTTAATTTATTTTCTAATACAAATATAGGCATAAATACATCTACTCCATACAGAAGATCGTCGGAACCAGTTCGATAGGTCATGGACTCTACAAACAGATAAACAATCTCTAGAAATAAGAGATTGCTTAGGCTTTGTTATTCCTTTAGGTTTTTATTTTTAATTTTTTCTCAATAATAATTTAGACATTCAAAGCACATCAAAGCGTGTATATTAGACGCTTATTATATCTACTTAATACTTATCTACATGTAGACTAACTAGTATCTTCTTACTCGTTTGTTAAACATGAACAGAGTGCAGAGGTCACGGCAGCCATAATTTGTAAAACATATCAAAAAATAGAAATAGCATAAGGATAATAACGACCAAATACTAAAATATGCTTTTAGTTGATGATTTAGTTTCGTGTTCCTATATCATCGCAACTTTTAACTTTATCTTCACTAAAATCGGAGAATATAACAAATGACTGTTATATATTCATTTAAGTACCTGGGCAACCGAGCTTCGCTCGGAGTTTTTGGCCAAAAGTACAATTTTCTTTTTTTTTTAAACTAAAAACTTGAATAAATAAATGTAAAAACTTTCAATACGACTGGCTATCGAACCCACACACTTATGATAAATCATCCTTGTCCGCTTGACCACGACGCTTATGCCCGAGCATACGAAATTAGCGACCATATTTTGCGTGCATAAGAAAACCGAATAAAAACACGCGTTTTCCCAGACATAAGACTAATCTAGATCGATTAATCGCCCCCAAAACCCCATGCATGCAAAATTTCATGAAAATCGTTGGAGCCGCTTCCGAGATTCAGTATATATATATATATATATATATAAGAATTGCTCGTTTTACTGTCATGTCCTGTATGCATAAAAAAGAAAGTCCTAGAATGTTAAAGATACGTCTTCTACAGTGGAAGTAGGGCGATCTAGTCACTATCTAGCGAGTAAACTGAAATAGCGCTAGTGCATTCGATCTGTCGCCTATAGATATCCTGCGTGACGACGACGCAATCAATGCGGAAGCAAAGTGGGATGCGTCGTCACCGCTGCATTTGTCTCCCGCTACTGAAACTAGTACACGCATGTACGAGACTGCACGTAGATTATATACTCAGGTAGATTATAATGTCCATTATATTTGATTTAGTATGAAACATGTGAACAAAGCAAAAAACGTTTAAAATTATAAAAAAGCTCTATATATAAATATGTTGCAAACCACAGAAAAAGCTTTCAATTGAACTTATTTTAAACTAGTTAAGAAAGCTTCGATATTGAAAAGTCAAATTAGTTGATCCTAATTGGCTTAATATATCTTAATATTGATTTTTTAATAAGTAACAAATAAGATTAATTTTACACTTAAATTTAAAACTGACCTCAGAACATTATCCGGTCAACGCAACGTGAATCAAGTGACACTTAAGAAAAACGAAGGCAGGTCACTTATCGTTCGACTTCTTTTATACATAACAATATGTATGCAAACGTACGCCTCATTTTTTGCTTAGAAATAAAAGTAAAGAATACATAAATATGAATTCTTTAATTATATTTAAGTATTCATGTTCGTAATTAAATTTTCATGTTAACTTATGTATAATTATAATAACGATTAATTATGGTTACTTTTAAGATACAAAACCAACCAGCATAATCTAGAATATAAAATAAATAATCCCACGTTTTAATTACCGACTTCACTCAGGTACATATATTTAATAATAGAAGTGAATCACAATATATGAAAAAAAAGAAATATTGTGTACTAGCATTGCCCGCGGCTCCGCCCGCGTTCAGATGACCAAAACCCAAATTCTTAGGTTTTACGTATCACTACACTCTTACATTACAGTTTTTGTATTTTTTCTCAGAAATGAGATTATTTCCGCGGTAGAAAGTATCCTATATGTTGACCCGGATAACCAGCTACCACCATACCAAATTTCATCATAATCCCATACAGATAAAAATTCTAAAAACTATAGATTCAGCCTATATATCGATAATAATGTTTATTTCAATAAGATTTTCCAAAAAATATCTAATGTACAGATTCGGCTTAGTTACAATTTTATTATATGTATAGATTTAATCTTAAACAATGGTCTGACAAAGCAATGACATGTCAAATTAGCTCTGTAGCGAATTCAATCCCGAAATTATCCCTATACGAAGTGTACTCGCTGAATGGAAATTTTAAATTAAAATAATGCGCGCTATTTACCAATATCGCATATATGTTTAATCGCTATCTAGACAGCGACAAGAGTAACTCCATACGAAGTTCTGTCTGGTGAAACTTAATATTGATTGAACTACGCGAACTTTACGGGGCAAAATTACCTGTGTGTTAATGTTCCAACATATTTATATTTAGGTGAGGGATAATTCTCTTAAAAAACATAAAAAGCTCCTCATATAAAGTACAAGTAAAAATCTAGAACATATAATGTAAAATTAAATAATCAGTTACAATATATTTTAAGAAACTGTAATTGTATATCTGAATCTAAACTATTTATTATGATGTAAGTAAGCGCAGTAATGTTTATTCAGTAACAAAGTTAGTCATCTCTACCTTACCGTCATTTGGTCACATTATTATTTAACATTATTACATTTTTATATATAAGAGCTTCTATTTGATCCCTTACTTACTAAAAAGTATTTAAAATTGAAATATACAATTTAAATAGTAATAAAAATAGATCCCATAAAACACGATAGAGCTCATGTTTGACCGTGAAAAGCGTGATAACTGAAAGCCTTGAAACGTAGCGGGTTGTCGGGAGCTGTGGCAGTAGTGGCAGTAGCGGCAGCTGTGGCGCGGGCGTGCGAAAGCTCCGCTCCGTACTAGCGATGCCGTTAGCGCAGGTTCGGGCGGGCGGCGGCGGAGGAGGCGGGCGGGCCGTGGGAGGTACCGTTAGTGACGTCACGGCGGTGACGCCGTAGTTATGACGTCAGGCGGCGCGATATAGCCGCCAGCCTCGGCGGCGGCGGCCTCAGTATCGCACCGCCCGTCCGCCAGCGCGTACTTCCGCGCATCGCGACCGCTGACTACCGAGTACCGACTGACTGTGAGTGAGTGCGCGTGCAGTGAGTGCAATGTGCTCGGCCGCATGAGGATCCTGCTGAGCGAACTGGGACTTTCTGGCGCGTGCCTCGGCCTGACCCTGGAGTCGCGCGCCGCCCCTCTGGACCCCGACAAGCCTGCGCCAGGTCAGCGCCCGCACGACGATACGCGTCCTTCCACTTCTGTGTTTATTTTCGCTTTCGTTGTGTAGAACCTTTGGGTGCGTAGACTTTGTGTGGAACTGTCGTGACGATGGCCATCGGCTAGAATGCGAGGTGCGTTGCTGACGCCCTACAGCCAACACTGTGGCCTTAGACAATTCCTTAACACACGTACGTACCTTTTTGTTTATTTTTGTTTCTTTATGTTTAGTTATTTTATTGCAAAAGTTTTTTTTTGTTTATTTTATCGCGATGTTTGATTTCCATATGCATGAAGTTTTTGTAACTTAAATAGGACTTGAATATTTAAGATCCTAAAAAAATATTATGACAATTTAATAACATACATATTTTTCATAAAATTAAGCGCAATTTAATTAATGGATAATATACACATTTAAATATTATCAGAGCCAGTTTTACAGCTGAGCTCACAGTTAGCCAGTGACCCATGCGTGCAGTGTGTAACCTATTTGTAACCTATACAGTATACCTAGTCCTTAAGAGGTCTGATTAACCTAATAACATTTACAAGCACAACAAAAGTTCACAAATTATTTATAGACTCCACTATGATTTCTAAATAAAACCCATAATTATCTAGCCTGAAAATTACAAGCGAAGAAATTTTCTATACAAATCATTCTTTATATATTTTTAAGTAGGAAAAAATTACTTATAATGTTATTCAAGATAGGAAGCAGGTGATTTGAAAATAATGTTCATATTAAAAAAAATATAATTGAACTAATTCATTAATATTTTTACTAAATATTAATGATTTAATTCAATCGTATATTTTTTAATATGAGTTTATACTAAAGTACACAAAGTACTTTTATCAAAAATGAATCATTTTCAATAAAAAATACACGCACTTTAAAATCATCATGTAATTATTTCTCTATTTTTATGGTTGAACATTTTTATAAGATTAGATCTCTTTAGGATCTCTCCATTCAAAAATATAATTTGTTCACAATTTATGCAGATACTCCTCCATATCTATGGATCTCCACTCACAGTTAATATATATATATATATATATATATATATTATACACCCGAATTGAGTACCTCGTCCTATTTTAAAATCTAAGAAAAAAATGTTCATAAAAATATCAAAACATACCTCATATTTTCCTCTCACCTCTCACCTGCTTGATATTGCTTAACCGTTCTCGACTGTGAAAAATATAGAAAATATAATTTAAGATAGATTATAGTATTATTGCAATATAACTATTTAAAAATTGATAATACAACAGACTGCTTAAAGATTTATTCATTTGTTTTAGTTGTAGATACTTCCGCTATACTAAGTGACACCGAATCTAACGTATTAATCATTACTAAAAATTACCTATACCAATAATGTTTGTTTATGCAAAAAGGAAACTAAACAGATTTTACGAAATTATTTTCAATATATACCGGTCTGAGAAGACATATGCCTCTTTGTTTTATTTCTATTAAAAAACCGTTTAATAATATTCGCATCTTTGGTATTATAGATAGATCTAGGTATCTAGAAAACTAGAAACTCCATATCTGTTTACAAAAAATAGTAATCATTCATTATGGAAAACAATAATTGTCTAAAAGTAAATTAATTTTTTTATCGCTGTCTTCCTTCTAACTATGTAAAATTATATATAAAAGCTCCGTAATTTGATGATTTAGAACTAGAAAATTTAGGGGTCCATTTTTAAACAATATTTATAAAATTTCAAGCCTTTTAGGAGTAACAACACAATATTATATTTATTAAAACAACTTCTGCAACAATCTACTAAGACGAGCTTGAAATCAATTGAATACTATGAAAGCTTAAAGTAATAAGTGAGTGTTGTAACCGACACTGTGGCATTAGCAAGAAGCAATTTAATGAATCTTTGACTAACCAGTGCGGCGAAATTAATATTGTTTTTGTTATGTTCTCGGCAAGTTAGGTAATTCTAGTATAATATGGGATGCTTGTGTCGCGATCGCCTCCGGTACGGAGCCGTTGGCCTCAGCCGAGTTGCCTTCCACTTGCCCAATAGCCTGTCGCAACCGGCAGACGTTGCACCTGCCAATAAGATGTGCCTCCGCAAATTGCCAATGATCGCATATCGACATAACATCTCGATCCCAATATGTGAAAATGACTAAGCGGCGAGAGCTATCAAACTTTTACCACTCACTATTTCGTGTCCTCCTAAGTGATAAACAATTATGAACACTAAACAAACACCGGTTTCCAAGAGATTCCGCGCGGCACAACATCACTTTCACTTTTGTTATCACCTGATAACTGGTAGACATAAAAGGCGATTGCACATAAGGTTACTTAACATGAAAATTTTGTGGTTTTAAAAAATAATAGATCAATAAACTACTAAATTATGCCCATTTGACGCATATATTCGGGGCCAGAATGCAAATTAAATCACTAAAAGGGGGCTTTCGTCATTCCTAATTTTTGAATTTTATATATAGATAAATCTTATCGTATCTGAATGATTATGTGTTCGTTTAACACAATATAATTGAGGGTATGGATATATGATAAGGCACGCTATCACCCACCAGCTATAGTGACGTCAGGGCGAAATAAAATGGCTCTCCCGCTTACGTCACACTCACACCACCCTAGAGAAAACTATTTATAGCTTATTGTATTGAATCTGGAGAAGCTTTTTGAATAGTCCGATATCTTATTAAAAAGTAAAAATGATAAAGTATCATACTATTACTATACATTGAACTTTTGTGAGTGAATGAGTGTGTTTAGTTTTTTTTACGCTGTAAAGACATAACAGATTTAATTGAAATTCCGAATGGATACGGTTTATATCCTAGATTTTCACGTTTTGATTCATTTTATCGGCATTTCTAGCATGCGAGTAGAGTCGCGGACAAAACTGAGTGTCCTATAGAATTATTATTTATCAGGATATGTATCTAATATTCGTTCGAATGTCTTCTAGACATTATCATTAGTCTCTATTTAGTTTTTTGACTGATATTAATATATTGTCAATCCGGTACGTGATACAGAATACTGCACTTGCATTAATAACAAGCTTCACTTACAACTTAAATGGTTAGGCACGTCAATCTGCACCACCTACAATTATTCTTGTTTATCTGTAAATCAGTTACAGTAGTGCATAAAAACACAATTTATTATCACTTTCGCAAGTTAAAATATCCGTCTTTGATATAATCAGAAAAAGCTAAACTAAACTACAACCTATTGCATATTTTTAGATCTACAATTGGTGCTGCTCTACCGCTTTCTGTAGCGGAATTACGTCACACAGTCTAAAAATACTTGGGTGGTATGGTAAAACGGCAGTAAGGGGGTGTAGAACTGCGGGCCTGCGGCCTCGGCCTCCGCATCGAACGCCGCCCGTGACGTCACGAGCGCGTTACGTCACGCATCGACCCGCGCCCCGTTTCAAGGACGCCCTTGGTTACCGGCTATCGGCTTCCTTAAACTTGTTACTTTTATAACACTTACTTAACTTAGCATAAGTTATAGTTTCTCCAACGAACGATGCGAGCTTAGTAAAAATAACACACAAAAGAAAAACCTGAGCAACACTCGTTAGTTTTGTTGTTTAATTTTTTTTTACTGAAAATGCTTTATTCAAAAAATGATAATTTATATATAGTGTAAAATAAATCCCCTACTATATATGTAAATATACTTTGATTTAATTTATTCTAGATATATTATATTAGTTCAAATAAAATTAGTGTCTAATGTCTACATTATCACATATTTAGTGAGTATTTTCAACCGACTTCCTCAAAAAGGAGGAGGTTCTTAATTCGGCTGTATTTTTTTATGTTTGTTACCTCAGAACTCCGTCATTTGTTAACCTATTATACAATTTTTTTACTATTTATACAATTTTTGTTTTGTTGGAAAGTGTATACTTACAGATTAGTCCCATTTAAATTAAAAAAAAATACCACCCCTAAGGGTGGGAAAATAGCTAATGAAGAATTTAAACTACTTCTAATTGTCATATTGACTTGAAACTTTGCAAGTGTGTCTATTGCTGTTGATAGTGCAGTGTTTGTCTACACTAAAAAGAGAAAAATAAAAACTTTTTAACAAAAAAAATAGCCAGGCAATACAAAGCAAAGCACACCGACTTCGAATATATTTGATTAGGTATTTATAGTAAATGAAAACTACCAATCAGTTATATTTTAGTTTTTAGTGCTTTTTGGAAGTCGGTTTTTATTTTTTTGTTAAAAAGTTTTTATATTTAAGAACATTAAATATCTTAAAAATCAACAAACTAATTTATATTTCCTATCGATAATTATACGAATACGTCAATATATTTAAGTAGGGAGAAGTTACACAGATATGGTCTACATTCAAAAGGATCAAACTTACATAATATGTAGACATGTTAAATTCTTTTTGATATTAAAATCCTAATACTGTATTAAACGAGTTTCCTCTTATCATGTTCTAAGATAATTAAAAGTATAAATTCTAATTTATTCTTCTCCAGTTTTATAATATAGGTACCTAAATATCCGCTTATAGTATGTCTGACATCAAGGTCGCCATTCATAAAATTTTATAAATAATATTATCGTTTTATTTAATACTAGTAACTTACCCTTACTTTATTTGTTTTTATTAATAAATAAATATTTACATAAATAAAAAACCCGACTGCGTAAAAAGCGATTTAAAAAGAGAACAAGTTGACGAAGGAACATAGTATTCGTATAGGAACATAGTAGTAAATATTTTTTTGTCTGTATTTTGATCACCTTAAATTTTTATATTGTGTATTGTAGATTTGTTCATATTTCAATGAATAGGTGCAAAAAATTGGATCCGCGTTATTTTACTGTATGAAGTATAGAGCAGATTTTTACATTTCTCTTTTATTCATTTTTCTATTATACTATTTGAATTTCTTTCGAATCGGTTCTGAAAAATCATCTTGTTCAAATTTATTTTTATTTTTTTCAAGACACAAATTAGCGCTTCAATTCCGCCATTTTGACTTTTAATGATATTTATGTATCCTATGATACTGGCGTTATCAAGACGAATCTAATGACGTATGGATTATCAAAATCGGCCCACGCGTTTGGTCTCTAGAATGCCACAAAGGAACAAACAAACATACATACATACATACATAG